AAAGCTGCATGCCTATTGGTTGATGCCCTGCATTCCATTGTGATGACTCATGCCCAGATGTGGTAAACACTCCACACTAACACAGTAATACATTTGCTATAACACAAGACCAAAAAAACTACAAATAAAAACCATTCTAAAAGCCTGTATCACAAAAATTTAAAAAACGCCTAGGGGTATTTGCCCACTGTACCTCCATACCAAATTTCAGGACCTTAGGCCCTAAAATGAAGAAGCTGAATCCATTTAAAAAATGGCAGGAGAAGAAGAAGAAGAAGAAGGAGAAGGTCTCGGACCGGAGTTTTTTTCACGATTTTGGATCCGGCGGGCACCCTCAGACCGAAGGGCTATAACTCCGCCAAAAAAAGTACGCCGGGAAATCTCATTACATCAGTCAACAGAGGTTTGCAGCCGGCTTCCGATACAATTTTGGTTATTGTCCGTCGACTCTATAATTTCGGTAGAAACTGTAGTTAAACGTAAATTTTGGATACGAAAAATGTAGTTTTTTTGCAGTTTTTTCAACGGACCTCCATACCAAATTTCAGGACCTTAGGCCCTAAAATGAAGAAGCTGAATCCATTTAAAAAATGGCAGGAGAAGAAGAAGAAGAAGAAGGAGAAGGTCTCGGACCGGAGTTTTTTTCACGATTTTGGATCCGGCGGGCACCCTCAGACCGAAGGGCTATAACTCCGCCAAAAAAAGTACGCCGGGAAATCTCATTACATCAGTCAACAGAGGTTTGCAGCCGGCTTCCGATACAATTTTGGTTATTGTCCGTCGACTCTATAATTTCGGTAGAAACTGTAGTTAAACGTAAATTTTGGATACGAAAATGTAGTTTTTTTGCAGTTTTTTCAACGGACCTGCTTGGAAAACGAATTTTCCCAGGCTAACAGCTTATATGCTGAAATAGCTTACTACTTCCTGTTTCTGAAAAACAGAAAAAAAATATAGGTTGTTGCGATAAGTTTTTCGCAAAATCCGGTGACGCGAACCCCTAGAAATTCCACATAGAACGCAGCTATTTGGGTCATCAGGCGACAAACCGCATCACCCTTGCTCGCGGACTGATACCATAAACGCTTCGCTGGCCGTCCAACTTCACCGCGCCGAAAAACACTACAATCCCAAGGCTTTTTGATCAATTCAAAACCTAGTTGAAAATCTACAGCGATCGCCGAGCTATGGGGAGCCAAACCTAGCGTGACAACCTCGCAGATCCGGCGATTTACTGCGCACTATTTGGAACCCTGGTCAGAATTAAACTCCGACCCGGAACCAGAAGGAGAAGAAACATCAGAAAAAGCAATATGGGTTCACCACCACTTCGTGGTGTGGTGAACCCATAATAAATAAGTATGCCATGTTGTTCCTGCACAATATCGTATTTTTTTATCATTTGACAAAGTATTTCCAAGAAACTTTCCCCCTGTTTACAGAATAGACTCTTCCAAGATGGCGCGCACGCAACACATGTAACACAGCTGCACAGAAGCCAGTTTTTACGGTGTTTTCCCTCAGAATGTTCTTGATTTCGTCGGTAATATAGCTCATTATCAAGTAATTCCATCATTTTACCAATATAATTTACCAATGCCACGGGGAAGCACTGCGTGTTTTAATACCAAAGAACCTCTTGTTGGCTACCGATGTTGTGTTGACAGAAGAAACCCTTTGAACTGTGCCGAGGCTTGGGCTAATTTTGATGTCAAAGTTAAAATATCAGAGCAAATTCTAAAACATGATACAAGTGTACTCCAGTAGTTTCCTTTTTGAAGCATTATCATTTATAAATATTAGTCTATACAGTGTCTGAGTATTTTGCCCAAGACCTGTACCAAGCATAAGACAAGTAAGTCCATTTATTATGACCCTTCACGAATTTGGAAATAAATTTTGGATTTGAACCTTTAAAAAAAGCTGTAACAAAGATGAAAACTTTTTCAAAATTTGACCCTCAAAATGCAGGAAATGGTGTTTCAGAGGGTTATATATTTCAAAATTTTCCGGGGGAGGATGCCCCCGGACCCCCCTACATTACTCGCGCCTGCGGCGCTCGCCCTCGCGCCTTCGGCGCTCGATGTGTGGCCTGGCTCAAACCTGGCCCCCTATGCTGTGAAAAAATCCTGGTGAGAACACTGCTTTATGTGGTTGAATACTACAATATTCACTGCGAACAAAACAGGAAAGTCAGTTCAATCAAATTAAGCTCACTGAAGACCTTATTCAGTTGGTTTTGACAGAGAAGACAGACACTGCGTACAGTTTATGTATTGTTATTTGTACCTGTAAAAATTCCCATAGCTCTTTATGAAAAATTCAATGAACAGTGGAAAACAGTCCTAAGGATTGTGACCCTTAAACTACAGTAACGTGCAGCCAGGATTCGAACTCCCAACCTCTTGGTCCAGAGGCAAGGTCGCTAACCACTAGACTACACATGCAAGTACAAACAGTCCATTGTGGAGATTCATGTATGATGGTACAGCTTGCAGGGATTTTTCTAGAAAAATTTAGCATGAGGGAGCAGATTGCAAGCATGGGAGGGAGCAAAGTGACCAAGGGGGGATTTTTTAAATGAGAGTAACACAGTTTGTAATGCTAGAATGCATTGTTGTATTGTTTTTCCATCTTTACTGGAAAAAGATCATTTTGAGAGACTAAATCATGGTTTGTAAGTAGCCACTTAGGGTTCAATCTGAAAATTGATATTAGGGAGCTGGGTGGTTACATGAGAGAGCAGCTCCCTTATTCCCCTGTTTAGAAAAACAGCTGCAGCTTGTAACAGCATGAAAGTTCATCTGAGTTGGTAAATTACATTATGAAAAACTTAAACTGTAAAAAAAACAGAGGCCCCTGTCGGGAAACTTATATCGGGGAAACTGAGCGCTCACTAAAAACCAGGTTTCTAGAACATAGACGACCCAGTTCTGTTGCATCTGAGGTGTCACAGCACATCCACATAGAATCACCGGGACACACAGTGGATCTGGAGGGGTACAGAATCTTGGATACCGAACAGGATTACTTCAAGAGAGGGATACAAGAGGCCATATACATCAGGGCACTTCAACCATCGCTCAACCGGGACGGGGAGCGATATCAACTTCAGACAACCTTTGACCCTTTGCTGACGTCACACGTGGAAAAAATCACGTGTCCACAGCATTTGGGTCAGATAGCTGAGGAAGACTGAGTGATTCAGTCGAAAATTTCTGGTGAGTCAAATTTTGAGTTGGAGAACAGTTTAAGTTTTTCATAGCTGCAGCTTGTACCTTGGCGAGTTGTCTGTAGCTGCTGCCTGAGGGTGAAACTGTGCAGCATGCAGGCGTCCCACTCGTCCTGTAGGGCCTTCAGTATGGCAGGGATACTGGTGGCCGACGGGGGGCGTGGCTTCACCGTGGGTTGTACTGGAAATACAGGCATACATCAGCACCTTGTTAATCTACAGCATCTTCAAATCTAGAATCTAACTTATTCTGAGCAGGAATTCTGATGTATCCAAATACAGTCAAACAGTCAAAAAGTGACACATGTACCAACACAACAGAGATGTCTTTATTCTCAAACATAAAATACATGTATCAGTAAATTTCCTTATCCAGAAATTATTTTGCCACCTTGATATTACACTGGATGGCTTCAAGTTTAACACAAACAGACAAAGCAAAACTGGGGTGAAATATGACTTGCTACAAATGACTGACCAATCAGAACTCACCTTTTATCTCGACCAGTTGCTCCACACTGAGTGGTTCACCGTTCATGGGGTCTGTGCCATTCTCCGAGACAAACTTCTCGATCAGTCGGCGCTCAAACACGTGCCCAGAGATGGGCGACACCACAGGGTGCTCCGGAACTTCGTTGGAAACTTTGCATGGGAAATAGTATTTATGTTTACCAAAGGAAAACATATTGTTTTTGCTCAGTTTCTTCTTCTTCTCCAAACAGTAACCTCTTACCTGGCCTCTGACCTGATTTGTTGGCGTGCGTCACAACAGCAACTGGTGTTGGGTTACATAATGTTGCAATTTTATAGTAGGAGGGATTTAAACTCCTGTCACCATATATATGTGAATGTGTCTGAGTAAGAATTAACCGAGCAGACCATATGCAAAGGTAAAACATTATTCATTTGCTTTGCAAATGTTACTTTTCTAGTTAAAAAATCAATTAACAGGAAATCTGACATTCGATGAGCAGGATTCAAAATACAGGGTGCACATGCACCTTAGTATGGGTAAAAATTTATAATTGGAGCTGTGTAGGTATTTCTTATATCTACCTGCACCTAATCTAACTAGTAATAACAAAATGGTAGCCAGATTGGATCCTAACCATAATTCTACATCTAAACCTAAATTATTTATTATGGCAAAGAGGTTCAAAATCAAAACCTTCTTGATTATGGTGTGCTTTGAGTTGACAAAAATAATTTGTGAGGCAAGAACCCATGTCAGGAAACTTAGTACTGCGGGGAGCTATAAGTGACACGCAGAAAACGGGTCTAGACTCAACCAGCCTAGCGCAGAGTACAAAAACATCGGATATAGTTAGGTGTTACATCTTTCCACGACTATAAATAATGGGGACTATGTATATTTTGTACAACAATGCAGCCTGTTGAGTCGCCATGGAGGAACAACGTGATCGCGGCATGAAGAAACTAGCGCCGGTCCCTAGACAATTCTACTTCGACATCGCTGAAACGACTGCACTCAAAAGTGCTATATAATACACAGACTGTCATCCGCACTGCTATAATACTTACAAGAGATGCAGTATTCAGAAAAACGGAGGGAAAATTGACAAAAGTGTGAGACTTACTTGAGCAGATGAGCGCCATGATGCTTGATGCTTACGCCAGTTGCCTGATGGGAAGGATGAATTATTCCATTACTGGCACATTGTGGGGGGAAATAAAAAAAAACTAGATATATTTTCAAATCATTAAGATGTCGTATAAAAAAAATCATAAAGACATAAAATATATGTTTTGAGTTATACTCTTTTAGAAATCAAAGTATCAATTAGTTGATCAAATAAAAATCTAACGTTAAAATGTTACACAGACCGACCCCTATCACGTTAGAGAAGTGGCCCTATGTCTAACGAGCTGTTCTAAAGAATTGCGGGGGTAACTTTTTGTCAACAATGTATTTGTGACATTTTAACGCTATTTTATAGCACTAAGTGTGGTGCAAAAGTAATATATTATTGTTTCTAAAACATTAACATCTTAACATATTAATTGCTCAAACGAAATTGATGTCTACATATGATATGAGAAAATTTTGTATCCCTGTATTGAAGTGAGCCCGTCCGTGCCCCCTGTTTCCGGTTGAAAGTTAGTGGGCAGGTACGACAGGTACAGGTACAGGTATTACACGTTACCGTCTGTACAGGTGAACCATGCGGGCGTGCCTGCTGCTTCTAGCGGTCTGTGTGGCCGTACTGGCCCAGCAGACCCGCGCGGACACTGAATACCACAGCGCCAGGGTAGAGGTAAGGTCTAGAATAAATTATAACGTTAACGCATGTCAGGACACGCAGGTGAGAAACAAGTGTTTGTTCACGTCACCTAGGCATGTGGTGTGGCCACGTCCTCAAAATTCCCTCACTGGGGGCATCACGTTGGCGCATATTATTGTCAGGATCACCACTATTAAATTATTGATATTGATAACTTACACGTAAAATAATATAACAAAGTTATGCCTTCCCATCCCAAAAGCAGCAATATTAATTAATAAACCCACATTGTAATCTTGGACCTTGGAATTTGAACTTAAACATTATAGTATGTGGACTGAATCTCATTGAAAACATTTGAGAAAACCCCACTACATAAACCTAGCTAGGTATATCGTCCAAAGGCTTAAATTTTGTACAACATCACATTTAACTATTTGAATAATCATGCTAGTTTGGTTGGTGAAAAAAAGATACTAGTACCAGTACAAAAAAAAGAAAGAATGAAATGCCTAAAAACATGTCAAATAGCCTAACCTCTAAAAAATTGGAACCTAAATAGCATGAGCATTATCTGTCATAACATTTTAGTCAGATCCTTCTAACTCCATGGTCAGACTAGTTTCACAGCCGGTCATGTTTCATCACAATACCCTTCCTAACTAGGTGAATTTTTGTGTGTGTTATATTTCAGAGTTGCAGTGGATGACGCTTGAACAAACTCCCCAAGGTGGGCAGACGCTTTCTCTCAATCTGAAGTGCCACAAACTTGTTAACTTTATAAGTTTAAGTTTAAACCTCCTTGATTTAATTTAGTGTTCAAATCAGCCTGAATTTTTTTTTCCGTCATAAGAATTTGTTTGGTGTAACTGTTCATGTCAAGCACCAAAAAGGCTCAACAATCCTATGGGGTCAATTCGGGGGTATGTTCCCTTGGAAAAATTTTGAAATCTCGACCCTCTGAAATGTTATTTCCTGCTTTCTGAGGAGCACAATTTGCTGGTAATTTTAAGCATGATTTAATGTCATCCATTTTCATACCTTTTTATATTTTCACCCATCAAAGATGACTGATTTGGCAAAATTTTTGACCGTCATGAGCAAAACAATTCTTTCCAATAACAGACACTGGCTAGAACACTGCTTATTAGTAGAAATTAGCTTCTAGTTCTAGATATTCTACTACCAGTCTTATTCATTGTTGTGTGAATGGCATGAAGATGGGTAAGTACAAATGTAACATGTTGATGAAATGGGTGAAGGATCCTGTTGGCATTGATTATTTCCGTCTCCCCCACTGCTGGCCAAACAAGTAAGTATTTGTCCACACAGGATCTGCCACATCATCGTATAGGGAAGGACCTGGAACATAATTACTACTAACTTCGGAAACCATACAAGTTGACACTTTTGGGCATATACAAAACATATTGATAACTTAGTGATTAACACTAAACGGCACACTGCCTTTTGAAGGGTCAAAACAAAGGGCACAGCAAGTTGTTAATTGTTTGCTTTGTCCTTTTGATGATCAAAAGGAGAGAGCATGCAATTAATAACTTGCTGCAGATGGGTCCTAGTTATACTTCTAATCTCCAAGCAGATCTTTGGTGGACGCAAGACAGTATCAAATTGGCCAGGCTGTATGCATTTGCCATGCAGTGGATACTTTCTTGCAGCCACCGAAAAATCTGCTTGGAGATTACATAGTTTAATACATTAGCCTGGTTATTACATGAAATTGTGATAAAGGAGCAATATGTGATATTTTTGCACCAAAATTGAAATATTTTAGTTTAAAAATCATGTAATTTACTTCCACTTAAGTAAAACTGGTTTGTGCAATTACTAGTATCTCACATTTCTGACATACATGTATATGGGCAGGCGCTAAAAGAGCCTACAAAAGGTGCACTTATATAATTAGTTTGTGGCACCACCACAAAATCAGGTTACTTTGTATAATAGTGCAAAGAAAGGACCAGTAAAATTGACGTTTTGTACTGTGCTAATGTTACATAATGAATACAGCTTTGATATAATAAATCGTGTTTGTTATATTTCCATGTACATGTACATATGTTACACTACAGGTGAAGAGGTTCATCCATGAAGTGCTGCCTACCTTGTATCCTTTCATGAGAAATTCTTTGACAGTGACTAATAAAACTCTCATTTTTCTATAGTATAGTTCTAAGGTACCAGAAAATTCTTAGCATCATTCTATTTAGAAAAAAATTCTGGTAGCCAACTTTTAGTCCTTTAGTGGACAGGGTATACTACTACATCTGTGTAACTTGTAAGCAATATGGTTATTTGAAAGCAATATGATTAGTAACTGCACCTGCACAAAACCCTAATTTTTCAGTTTTCGTTGGATGTTTGGTCAGCTCTGCATCAGAATGTTGCCCGTTGCAGAATATCTTTTCTGACAGAGTATTTGAAAACTGTAGTTGGGATGTCATCCTTTTTCACCCTCCCGAGCAGGGTCAGTGATGCCGCCCAAAAGAGCTGCCGTCACCTAAACCCTGCCAAATCCTTTTTGAAACATCCTGGGTACACTGCATCATGGGTACACACAATGCTCAATACATGACGGGTTTCACACTGTCACAGCACATTCTGCTGACTTTTTAGAAGATCCTTTAATCTTGCTAGCCTCCATAGCAGGCTTATAGCACTGGGGGTTTGGTGGTCTTTGGCTGTTTTTTTATGGTAATTCAACCAGGCTGGCTATATAATATATATGTTGTCTATATGTAAACAGAAAATAGCACATAAAAGCTCCCAAAGACCATGAAGACCCTCAAAACCCCCAGTTTTTGGCATGCTATGGAGGCTATACCGGTAGTCTTGATTTGTTAACGATTGCACACACATGTACACCTTTGTTTCATCACTCCCTGCATTTATCACACATGGAACTCATCTCTCATTTACAATGGAAGGTACAGGGACTGACCAAGACAGAAACTTTCCGAAATCTTGTATTAACTAGAATAAGGTGAGGTGTATGAGGCATTGATTCATGTTATATACTGTAATTCACTTTATGTTCACGGTAGCAAAAGTTCACAGTCTGAGAAAAATGGACATGTTCACGGAACTACATATTCATGGTGGCGACAGGTGCAGGAAAAAGAAAGTCCAGGAATTATTTGTTAACTGTAATGATAAGTTCACGGTACAGAAGTGACAGCAAAAACAGTGAACATTACAATAGGGTAAAAAAAAATCAGGAATTACAGTAGTTAAAATGGTTCTTCTTTAACAAAGTACACTAGTCACCAAGTGGAGTTCAAGCCCATTGCTGGGAAGAGTCCTGTGCTGCTGTTGTTAGGTCAGGAGGGAGATGTATTGGAGGTAAGGAAAAAGGAAAGATATGTCAGATCTGGTAGAATTGGCTATTGTACTGAACAAGTAGAGATCTAGATCAGAGTCTACAACAGATAGTCTCAGTCTGATCAGAGATTCTGATTGGACTACGATTTGGAGTCCCTGCTGGTGCAAATGCTCAAAATCATACAACACCAGGGAAGAAATACTGGGTGCATGTGCACCTCAGTGCACCCAAATTTGGAGCTGTGCACCCAATTTTTTTCTGTGGGTGCACCAGTGCACCTATTAGATATTTTCATACATACATACATGTAATATGTTAATGTGTAGTAGTACACAGCATACTAGTATTCCTAAATTCCAAGTGTCAGAAAAATAATAAAGTCATTGTAGAAGTACCTTTCTGTAAGAAATCAAACATTTCCTAACATTCTACTTATTTTTTCTTATATTGTGCACCCCAAAATTTTTTGGTGCACCCAATTTTTTAGGTTGGACCAGTGCACCTATTCCCAAAAATGAATTTCGAGCCCTGAACATACTGCATTAAAAGATACTTAAGTTTGGATTTGTGGCAAGCATAGACCACCAGTACATTGTATTTGAAATTAAATGTCAGTAAATGTGATCAAACTTTTTTGGGTTAAGATATGTTGGGCAATGTTGGTTATAGCAATATGTGCCTGGAATGACCAGGATATTATCAGAAAACAATTATTTAGCACCGTGTCCAAAATGCTCCCTTACTTCCCCACCATTCCCTACCACAAAAAAA